ATCAAATGAAAATATTAAAAATAATAGTAAAAACACTAATAGCAATAATGACAACCATAATTATTCCAATAACAGTTCCGCTTCACTTTGTTTAAATCGTCGCTGAAAATCCTCTGAAATTCGTTTTCATGCCACCTGTGAGCCCCAACAGGCTCGTTGTGAGCAGAATTCAGGTTAATCTGCTTTTTAAAAATTTCACATGAAAAATTATTGAAATTACAGAAGCTAGGATTTTCACGAGTACCCCCTCCCCTGCACGCATCGAACAAATATGTATGTGAGCGCGCGAGGAGAGAATGTTATCACAGCCATGCCTTTCACATTCCTAGTCACATTCGTTGTTGTTAGCGGATCGGAAATTGAATAATTACAATGAGGAAACACCTAACATCCAAAAATTCAATTTCCGATTCATTACATATCTTACTTGTCTGAAAGAGACGTTTTTCGCAGTCCTCTGCGCCATTACATTGATTGATTGACTGGCGTTCGCATTACAGAGACTGAATACATAGGACGTTTTCAGCTAGGTGGCCCAGCGAACATAGAACGTTTTCGACTAGGTGGCCTAGCAAACATCCTTTTCCTCTACCAGTCTAGCTGCAGAGCTTTTTATTACCTTATTTGGAGGTACACTTTGCCTTTTCCATGTCAATGGCTTGTCTTACTCATAACATTTTATGAGAGAGGACTAGGAGAAATAAAGTCTTTGGAAGTGGTCGATCACATTTTCGAGATGCGCCCAGGATTTAACTTATCGTAACAGCCTTTAGAATGTGTATGAACTGCTAGCTGATTCACGAGTCAGTGCTATTATCCTCCCAGGCGAGTATGGTACCATGAAAGGGTACATAGCTTGAATAGCGCGATCGGGCATCGATCGGCGATCCGATCGTCGTACTATGCGTGTGTGATATTAAGCGACTTGACACTCTATCACCTCCGGCCCGGGACAGGTTATTAGTAACTGCTTTGCAGTAATGTAGTTATTAANATATCCAGGGTGTACTGAATAAACATATGAACAAGTAAACAAACAAACAAATGTAACCAAAGGCTGGGTGATCAAAGAAGGTACCTGGGTAGTATCTTCTTTTTTACATGACCCATACTGCATATCACGGATGCATTCCAATAATATGTGACTTTTTAAAATAATTAAATAAATCAGAGTCTCATCATGATCTACTGTTACCGACGCTTCTATAAACGAAATCGCTTTCGTTTTGGAGTTAGAAAATCTTTTAGATGCGAGTTTCTGCTAGCCTCAGGATTATTAGAACAACTGATTCAATTTGAAATGACGCGATTGCTTGAATGTCTTCAAACTTTACATCCTCCCCATACTACTTCGGAATTATAACTAGTTTCTAGGGAACCACAATTTAACCATTCACATGGAAAAATGATGTCATCTGAAATTTTTGCGTTTTATTGAATAATCGGAACCAGGAAGGAAGCCTGAAGGAAAAAAATGATGACGCTTACGTAACAATGTTATCCTCGCCCAAACATGTCTCTTTGTAGATTCGATTTTGTACACCCACGACTCTACACTAAAGTACAACTAATACAGTAACCCCCCAGGAAAGTGTCATTGATCAATTCGTGGGAATAACTGCTTCTGTTGAGACCCCCTTCCTTTTTTCCTACTAAGAGCCTATATGATGACTTCATTGAATAAAGAATTTGTGAAATCCCTCTTTCCACAATTCATCGGACTTCATCGTCCTATTTACTGTATCGGATAGTTTTCTTCTCCAATATTGATCGTATTGATTAGATAATACCCGCAGCAGTTTCATCCACAGAAATCGCGAATTTTGTTACATTTCCAGTGGTTTTATAAGTTCTTATACATACATGGGTTTTCTCAGCCACGATTCCGACCCATAGGTGGATAACTCTTGCTGCAAGCATTGATCTGCTGGTAAAACCCCTTAGCTTCGTCGAATATGTAACGAGACTCTTCCTTTTTCCCTGGAAGCTTTGAAAAAAGAAAAATTTCATAATAATCTGAAATTGTTAAGAATGAGGTCTTAGAGCTTTCAACGAATTAAGCGCGCATACAAATGGATAAACTGGAGTCTCCGCTTGAAGTTGCCATCGCCAATCAGACTTTCGCAGTTGCCACGTGTAAAAATTCACGAACTCTTCCAATATTCTGCACTACTTTGAGAAAAAATTGAAAAGGATGGCAAGAAGTAGATCAGGAGTGTGGTCATCTTACTAAAAACTCGCTAACGTTGAATAAAAATAACCAGTAATACAGTATGAATACCTAGTTTTGATGGAATAAGTGGAAAATGTTCGCTATCAGATGGAGCAATCGACAGAGTGGCAAAGTGAAAGTCAAGGACATTCCAGTATAACAGTTCTTCTAGCATTGTTATTTTTTTCGCTTTATGGGTTGGTTCGAGGCCGTTTTCAAAGTTCGTTACGGGACATTTCTCTGAAGTGCGCCGTTCATTAACTTAAGGCTTCCACATTAAAACCATTGGTTCTGAATTCTTTTTACTTTATTAGGAAGTGAAGTTCGTACAAATATACGCGATCGTCCACCCCTATAAAGCATGAAAAGCTTTTAGGGGTCTTTACTGTATTCCCTTAACATTCTACAGCAAGCTACAGTAAGCGGTAGGGTGAGAGTGGTTCTGTAGAACAACAGAATTAATGGTATTTTTAGTTGTCGCTTGAACATATATTATGACAGGTGCGGGTCCTAGGTGTACACCCAAGTGGGGAATGTTTCCCAGCTTGTTTGTAACTACTCAATGGCATTTATATTGAACTTGGTACCCGGAAAGAACGAGCGGGTTCGAGTTTGGTCTAAAGGCGATGTTTTGCCTGCAGCTCCCATCCTTGTGATACTTTTGTGTCGCGCACGAAGTACTAGCAGTTAACAAGGACAATAAACCAAAATAATACTAATAATAATAACAGCAACTAACAGCATCAGTAAACAAATAGCACAAGAGACTATGAAACCAAAGACTGCTGTAACTACCATCCCAAATGTTTTTAAATGCCTTTGGTTAGAAAAGAGAGTGGGCAGTGAAGGATCTACAGTGAAACTTAGGAAAATAAAAAGAGTTAGGCAGCATTTGAAGAGCAAATAAAATATGATAACACAAAGCTGAAGAAGATACTCAAGTGGACACGGTCAACTGGCAAAAATAGCTCACTAGGTTTGTGACTAAGCAAGTCGACAATACAGGGTCAAGGCCTAACTGCGCGGCGCCATCACTTGATGAATCGTTGAGATACACTTTACGGAGGGGATGAAGCCTGCCTTGTCCTATAAGAAAATAAAGACCAAAAAAATAACACAAAATACCTGGAGATTACTGTACTAAATATTACAAGAACATCAAGTTAGGACTAAATATTACTGTTTCCCGCTCTAAGGTTTTTCTAGGGGTGTCTCAGAACAATTCCTGCTGATCCTTAGAGATAATCTACGCATTTACACTTGGTTCGGACTGACGAAAACCTTTGGAAATCCTAGTCGATCAATAAAGACTTAATAAAAATGAAAAAATCAACATATATATAAAAATTCAATAAATTTCATTTCAGTTTCTTCATTTTTGTCAGATATATGAAGTGTATGTATCGGAAGTGGCTCGACTCGATTGGAAATGGAAATGCTGAATAGCACACTGGCCACTAAACCACTCTAACTCGCCCTATCTTGCCTTGATAAGTGGTGAAGTTTCTCCAAGATCTTGAGAACTTTTTCCA